TGAGAAGAGAGGCCGCAAACCCTCGCCAGCTCTGTAGTGGGTTTATGTACCTATTGGCGCAAGGGTACTTCGGATTCCTGTGAGTCCCCCTTTAAGGAGTTGCAGTCACCGGCCTTATTAGATGGTTTCATTGATCCTCAAAGATGCGTATGACATGATTAAATAAGAGATTGAAGGAGAGTGACCAAAAGAAACCACATGAGAAATAGACATCCTGGTCAAGCCTAGAGCTGCTGCGATGGATGCTTTAAGGTTTGCTGGAAATTATTTCTCACTTGACTATTACATTCTCTCACCTCTTAACGTATTGACGTCTTTAGGAGAAAGCTTATAGATTAAAATTTTGGAAAACAGCTTGCTTTTGAATGCTGTGCAAATAGTTTCGTAGGGAAGTTAGGATAGCCATTTTTATAAACAATTTTACATTTACAGGGCTGAGTTGTTATTTTTTTATTGTTCATATTGCATTAGGCTTCTCAAAAGCTATTAGAAAAAAATGCAATAGAAGGCCTATCCATTGTATTTTTCAGAAGAAAGCTGGTTTTCACAATATTATTTACATTTTGTAAACAGCCTCAATGAACCTGCTCATAAAAGGTTAAATGTTTGCAGACCATTCTTTTTTGCCTCAAAGATCAGAGACAAATTACTATTTTTATTTTACATTCCCTTGATGAGGATAATGCTAAACATCTGTTATTTCGGTGCTTAGACTGCAAGGAATCCCATTGCAATCCTATAATTTAAACAAAGAAAAAATACAGTCATACACAGTGTACATGCAGGAAAGAGCAGGAGAGAGAATTTGGTTAGAACTGGGGTTAGAGAAAAGCGAGAGTTTGCTCTCTGCAGTCACTCAGTTAAAAGAAAAAATCCATCTATGTACATCTTCCCCATTCCTCTTAGACATATCGGAGGGGACAATTACTCCTCCTTTCTTTCTAAAATCAGAAAAGAGGTTAAATTTGCATTCTGAATTCTGCAACTCCCCATCACGTCCATGCTGTTATCAGAATGGTTAAGACTCGCATCTGACCGCATGCCTACTGGTATTCCCAAGAGCTAAAGAGAGTTTCAGATGGTTTCACTGGTTATTCTGGAGCGCTGCTGCTGCTTTTTTGAGTGTGGAGGATTACACTGTTCAGTGTTCTCCACTGACTCCGACACTTTGCTTAATTGCATCTGGTTTCAAAAAGTGAAAGTGAGGGTCTTTTGCATATTTTGGTCTGCAAAAAGTAAAGCAAGGCTGAATGGTAAGAACAGTCTGAAATGGCGAAGTTCAGTGTACCTATGTGAAACTGTGGGCGGTGATATAATTTTCCTGGTGTTTCATATTCCTGGAGGTTCTTTTAATAAATGCTATTTATTCTGCTTTTCTATTTTGGCTCAATCATTTATTTTTTTACAAATGTCAGTACTTCAATGACATATTTTTCCTAGAAATTCATTTTTACATTGATTATTTTATCTACAAAACTGACTTGATATATTATGGATATTGCACTGTTTCATAATACTTCTTGATTTTTTATACCTAAGGAAAAATAGAAATTGGTTTAACATTGCATTCATCCTACATTTATTGAATAAATCAGCCCTCAGAGCCTCAGCATGCTCTCCTGTAGGTTGACAAAGTGGTACCGGCCTCCTGACGTTGTGGTGTACATCTTCTAAGTAAAGTGCTTAGCACAGTACCTAGAACAAAATAAAGGTTTCTGAGAGAGGCGTGTTGATGCTGAAATGCCATCACCCCCTACTGCCAAATACAACAGCAAAATCCCAGTATGTTTCAGAGGAGAGGTGAATTGTATTGTATCCATTACGGACATTTCTACTGCTTTATGTAAAAGATGTTTTCCTTGCAAAGCTGTAGGTCATCTGTTCTCACTTATAGTCATAATTTCATAATCATTTTATCATCCATACTATTATCAGGTAGTAGGGGATCCAAACTCCTCAACTTGGAGTTTCTCTGGTCTCCAGTCTCTCCAATAAGTAGGCACCCTCGGAGACCCTGAATGTACTGGACAGCTTTCTTGATTTAGGCAAATCCCTTGGTGGTTTTAACTCCTGCTTTTCCTTCTCTCTTGCATCAAGCTCTGTGCTGAGAAGGGGGAGATAAACAAGACGCTAGAGATTAATGGGGGAAGCATAGAACTAGGCTGGGTAGTAAGTAGTAAAAGTGAGCACAAGACACAGATGAAGTACAGAGCGGGGAGTGGCGAGGGGCCTGGGGGCCATCGGGAGCTTGTCTAGAAAGGGTAGTGGACCAAGGGTGAGGAGGGGAGCCCAAGGGGACTAGCTTGCAGAAAACCTATATAAAGAATATAGTTTGCCATCTTTCTATTGCTTGAATTGTAAATGTTTTATGCTCACATTTTTTTACCTTACGTTTTCAAAATGTGTGTTGAGAGTCAAGCAGCTCTCTAACTCTTATCCCATGAATATTCGCAAAGGGAAGTGGGAAACTAGCATTTATTTATTAAGCACCCACAATGCCCTTGGCTAGGTCATAGCATATGTATTATCTCATTCAGCTTCCAAAAGTTCGCCAGGGAAGCGTATCCCCATTTTAAAGATGGGGAAGCTGAGTCTCCGTTACATTAAGTAACTGAAGTGTAGCCACACAACCAGTACATGATAGAGCCTGTCTTTGAACCTTAAGTTTTCACTTTCAGATGCAATACCTTCAAAACCACACTGCAGTGGCCACTGGTTCTTAGAATTTGGGCTCAGCATGGAGCACCTTTGCAGTGGTTTTTTGCTCTGGAAAGAAGTTTGGGAACATGAGTGGCTTTTCTCACTGCTATGGCTGACCTTTCCTCTGTCACTTTACCACTTTATGGCCTTAATTTTTCACCTATTCGTCCCAGATTCAATTGTGCTTATATCACAAATTAATAAGTGAACTACATAACACTTGATTTAATTATTTCAGTGACCAAAGACCATTAAAAAACAAAACAAAAGAGTATTGGGGAACAACCGTCATTGTTGAAACTGCCAATCCTTTACCTTGCTGTAGTAGCGGTAAGATGCCTCAGAAATGTCCTTGACGTGTCCTTGAAGCATGAGGTCATACTCTCAGGACTGAAAAATGACTGTTGTGTTTTAGAGTGAGCACATATTATTTTAATATTTTTTAAAAAGTGTTGGATATTTCTGAGCAAGAGAAGCCTATATAAATGATTAGAACAGATTTCTATCTTTGTTATTGTTGATTTTGCAGCCTTCAACATATGCATATTAACTTTAAGGAAAAGCTTGTCATTTATAAATCCATTTAAGCCATTTAGCACAGTGCTTTTCCTAGAATGGATTGGATGATTGAAAGCCTGGCAGATCAAAGTATGTACATTTCCAAGGAGAAGCATTTCATGTTCACATTGGAAGCAATAAATTATCCCCACCCAGCC